AATCTCACGTTGGCCTGCTCTGTCCCACCCGGGATGTGAATCATCCCTTTGTTGGATCCCCAGCCATTGACGTTGTCTGCTCCTGACACCCAACCATCAGCATCGTCATGGCTCAATGATCCTCCTTCTGAGGTATCATCAGAAGGTCGATAGTAGCCTAACGCTACGTCACAGTGCCTACGTCATTCACCTCCTTTCACCTCATCCCGTGGGCGTTTTATTATCTCATATCATCACAAGAAGAGTGAGTACAGTAGAGGAAGATATTTTGAGAGAGAGAGACCACATTCTCATAACTTTTAATACAGTATATTATTATAATTGTTCTATTTTATTATCAGTTATTCTTGTTAATCTCTTACTGTGCATAATTTATAAATGAAACTTTATCATAATTGTATACATATAGGAAAAAACATGCTATATACAGGGTTTGGTACTATCCACAGTTTCAGGCATCCACTGGGGGTCTTGGAACATATCCTCCAGGGATAACAGGGGACCACTGTACACCAGGGCATTCTGTTCTTATTAACAAGGTCTGCCCTCGGGGGAAAATAATTAACCAGAGGCTAACCTACTAGGGTTATCTTCAGAGCCTAACTGGCCCAGGGAAGAGAAATAACCAACTCCAGCCCATTCTAGCCATCCTGTGTCACGTAAGCAGGGACAAAAAAACTGAGAAACTCTTGTGAAATTCACAGTCCAAAGTCATAAGCTGACTAAAAGACTGAGACCTAATCATAGGACTATGGAACACTTCCCCTTAGGAAGCAATTACTAAAGGCCTATTCACAGCAGTTCCTTTGACCCAGTACATCATGTCCGGCTATCAAGAAAAAATTATGAGACATACCAAAAGGCAAAAAACACAGTTTGAAGAGATAGAACAAGCGTCAAAATCAGACATGGCAGGGATGCTGGAATTATCAACCCGGAATTTAAAATGATTATGATTAATATGCTGAGCGCTCTCACGGATAAAGTAGCATGTAAGAACAGATGGGCAATGTAAGCAGAGAGAAGGAAATCCTAAGAAAGAACCAAGAAGAAATGGTAGAGAAATAGAATGTGAGCCATATATGTAATTTTAAATATCTAGTAATTGTATTAAAAAAGTGAAAAAGAAACAGGTGAAAAGAATTTTGATAATATACTTTATTTAATCCCATATATCCAATATAGTATTATTTAGACATGTAATCAATATAAAAAATTGATGAGACATTTTACATTCTTTATGTTTTTGTACTAAGTCTTCGAAATCTGATGTGTATTTTCCACTTGTGACATATCTTAATTCAAATTAGCCATATTTCAATTCCTTGAAAGCCACATATCAGCCGGTAGCTAATGAATTGGACAATCAAGTGCTAGACCCTCCTATTATGACCTGGGTGAAATATGAGGTAAAATAGGTTAACAGAGAACAGTGCCTGGCAGGTGCTCTGCCAACTGTGGTCCTCCTTACCATTATCTTAAAAAATGCGTCGTCAACTGGCCACTTTGTCTCTCTCTCTCTCTTTTTTTTTTTTTTTGGTGAGGAAGATTGGCATCTGTTGCCAATCCTCCTCTTTTTGCTGAGGAAGATTGTCCCTGAGCTAACATCTGTCCCATCTTCCTCTATTTTGTATGTGCTTCACTGCCACAGCATGGCTTGACAAACGGTGTGCGGGTCTGCGCCCGGGATCCCAACCTGCGAACCCAGGCCGCCGAAATGGAGTTCACCAAACTCAATCACTATGCCACCAGGCTGGCCCCCGACTTTGTCTCTTTTACTTGAATTTTAGTTGGTGGGCTTAGGCAAAGCTTAATATAAACATTTCTCCTCTATTTTAAACCGTTTCTGGTCAGTATGTCACCAAAAGTTTAACAAATAGAATTACAGAACATTCTCAGGAATAACTGATGGCTTGATCTATTTATGAGATTAGAGTCTGCAGGGGTTATACATTCAGTATCAAGATGAAGTATGGGCCCAGGTTATAGTCTGAATATAAAAATCTCATTACAACAGGCTTGCCAAGAAGCCAAAAACTGAATAGGTTGGGAAATATCATAAAGACATTTACTGATCATCAGCTACAGGGCAAGCAGCAAGCAAAGTACTTTTCATATATCCGTTCACTTAACAGGGGAAAAAAACAAACACGCAAAACTCTGTACAGCATCCTCATTTTGAAGATAAAGAAACAGAGGTTCAGAGTTGCTTGACAAATTTGCCAAAGTTGATACAGCTGTTAGGTGATTCTTCATTACCCTATGATACCCTCCTGTTCTCACTCATCACATAAAGGGGATGTGGGCTGGAGTGATAGGTCTGGTACTGGCCCCTTGCAGAGAAGAATGAACTTATTGTCTTAAAGTGAAACATTTCCTCTATTGATGAGCTGAGTACAAAAGATGAAGCAGATGGTGAAAAAGGGAACTATCTTCTATTCTACCTAAACACTTGAATTGATGGTTTGTTTCTATGTGATGTTTAGACAACACAATAGCACAAATTAGTTCTTTCACTAGATAAAGCGAGACAACCAGATTGAGCCAAAACTACTTTTTTATTAGTTCTATTTATTAAGAGACTGGCAACTCCCTTGGGAAGTCTGGTCTTGGAGGGAACAGCCAAGGAAATTTGCAGGAATAGGGGATTTTTGGTGCAGTGGTACTGGTGAAACGGACAGAGGAGTGGCTGCTCCCAAAGACCAACCCCAAAGAGCACGTGGCTCTTGTTATATCTGGCTGGCTCAGCAACTATTCAAGTTATGGGGCTACAGGGGATACTGTCTAGACCAGTTCTTTTGGCCCCGGGATTGGCAGAACATAGAACCAGAAAGCCAAAGCATGGTCCAAATGTCTCTCTGCATTTTTTTCTGGTAGACAGTCAAATTGAATGAAAACTAAATCTCAAACAATTACCAAATAGCAATACAGTGGGGAATAAAAAGACTGCACAGGGCTTTCTTCTTGATAGATACGTCCTGGCTCCTGAGCTACAAAGCATGCCATTTCTGGAATGAATATCTTTGAGAAAAAAGCCCAGTCTTAAAGATGGGGTGACTTTTCCAGCTTGACCTTAGTCACCTTGCATCAGAGGCGTTCTGTGCCCTCCATGATGACATCATGATAGGAAAAGACACATCCACATGTAATTGAAATAATTTATTTACCACTAGAGCACCACAAAAACAGACATACATTGTGTTAAAATACAGCGTAATCAGTCATCAAAACACAAAACAGCTATTCTTATATTCCATTTTTTTTTAAACCATGCCAACCACAAAATTGTACTGCTGCTTAACACGTAAAAACTGCTGCCCCACCCCACCCGCATACTACCATCTCCCCCCTTCCCTCCCTCCTCCCTCCTCTCCCACGGCAATATTTACTTATGGGAAATAAAGACCTTATAGAACCCCCAAACTAAAAAAAAAAAAAAAGATTCAAGAGATCTTAAAATAGAGCATTTAAAATATTATCAGTGCATTCATGAGGAAAGACAAAATAATACAAAACAAAAGATCATTCTATCTGAGAGGAAAAAAATACCTGCAGAAATAAAAGTGATTTACATAGAATTAATAGAAAAGTGGAAGAGAAAAAACTCAAATCTGGGATTGGATTACATCCAACACAAGGGCTGTTTACTACTGTGGCATCCCATCGCTTGCCTTTCCAGTTTTCGAACTTGCAAATCCAATTCATCAATTTAATTAAGGATCAGGAAATTCCAAAAAAGAAGCATCCTGTATCAAAGAACTTCACTTTGGATTCACACCTCATTGTGCCGCTTTTCAGGTGAAACTGCAAATACTCCATTACCTATTAATTTTTGTCTTGAAATAAGAGACAACTGACAAACTGACATATTCTACAAACTCTGACATAAGGTTACCTTCTCTGCAATGATGTGGGAAATCATTCATTAAAGCAAGATAAATCGTAGAGTCGGATACAGAGAACTCTCATTCAGAGGAAAGAAAGAATATTTTGCTCATGGGAGAATTCGGCTTGAGCCTTTCCAACTTTCAAAGAACATCTATAAAAACCTTAACTTCAGGGAAATAAACTAATGACTTATGCTGACCTGGGGTTTTCTTCTCCCTTAAAAAAAATCGACTAAAATGTAAATCTTTTCGTTTCCCCCTTAACATTAGAAACCTGATTAAAGGAAATGATGTTTCCTATGAACTGTCTGCTCTTTAATAATAAGAGAATTCTATGAAAATGCTCATTAGACCAAGTGAGAGAAACCTTTCTTAACTCAGTCACCAAGATTCTGAGTTTCAGTCAGATGGTTAAGCCCTTGCTAAAACTAACACATTTCACCTCAATTATCTATGTATCTATAGTATTCCCCCAATTTTCCTAAAGTAGAAGATTTTTAACGTCTGAATTGATTAGTAATGATGCTTAGAAGATGAAGGAAGACTACTGAACTTAAATCTATCCTTTTTATAAAAGGAAAAAAAGGAACACGTGAACTCAGGTAGCTTATGTCATAATAATAAAGAAAGCACGAAGCACAGGTGGAGTGAATACTATAAAACATGTATTTCTAGTGCAAGTCAAAATATAGGGGCTTTACTCAAAAGTACTGGCCAGCTACAGGAAACACACTACTCTGAGTAATCATTAAAAAGAGCCCAAATTTAAGTCCAATCTAAATCAGAGTTGACATTATTACAGAACATTAAAAATATGGTAAAAATTTACACATTACACATAAAGTAGTTAACGTTTTGATTTAATAGTTTGCAAAAGAGATCTCCAGATGTGTTTCCAATTACACTGGCTTCTATACCCAACTATTGTAATAATATAGGTATTGTTACATATACCAAAACGAAGGAAAACCCTATAGCAGAGCTGTACAGCAATACTTTAAGGTCTGAAGTTTGACCAGTACATATCAAAACATTTCAACATTTCACTGGTTTACTAAACTGACGAAGAACCATTTACAATTAAAAAGAAAAAAAAAAAATCTTACAGACTTATTCTGACTGAAAGTGTTCTTTATTAACAGGCTTTTCAGTTTTGAACCTTACAAGAAGCTTCCTTAGTCAGCTGGTACATAGCGGGTCTTTTTAGGGTCTTTATCTCAATGCAGACTTGCTTGGTCATATAGTAACTCGCTGGGATTTTCATCCTATGACTATGACCTCTTTTTTTCTGGCTCGTTTGAGTTCAAGTTCCTTAAACCCATCCATGAGTTTCTGGCAAAGTATTTGGTCTCCACTTTATACACCTGTTTTATTTTCCAAGGGCAATGAAATGTTCATTATATAGTAACACACAATAAATAACTCACTGTTAACTCTAGGAGTAAGAATGAAGAGGGCAGCTATTGCATAGCAATACAGAAAAATCAGGTGAGGCACGGGATAGGAACAGTATGTACAGCAACTCCACTTAACGGGATTTTCCTGTTTTTTTTTTTTTTCTTTCACATAATTAACACCAACAAATTCTTCCAGTGTTTATTTTTTTTCTTAAAAAAAAAAAGGTTTTACTTCTTGTCTCTCTCACTTACAGAGTAGGTGAAATGTAGAATAAAGCCTTCAACTTTTCTTGTTTCAGATGCCAGTTTTAACGAACAGAACACAAACTTCCAAAGTGTTTGAACTAGTACCGCTTTTCAAAATTTTTTTTAACACTGATGAAGCAAGGCTCTCTCATGTTTTCTTGTTACAGGCATTGTCGTTGTCATCATCATCATCATCACCGCGGGATTATCCTCTGGCCACTTTTCCAAGGATCTTAGCTGCATTTGCAAGACTTGACAATCATATTAGAAAGCTGTTCGATCTTGGGTGTTTTGCCGATATAGTAGAGAATGGTTAGCGGTTCTAAGTCCTGGGACACACAGCAAGGAGAAGCAGATGCCTCTGGATTTATGGTATTATATAAGCTGAGAACCTGAAAGGACACACAGAGGAAAGACAACATAGGGAAAGACAAAAAAAAACAACAACAAAGGCAATTATTACTATTATTATTTCCTGAGAAAGATTCGCCCTGAGCTAACATCTGTGCCAGTCTTCCTCTATTTTGTATGCGGGTCCCCGCCACAACATGGCTGCCAACGAGTGGTGTAGGTCCATGCCTGGAAACCAAACCCAGGCCGCGGAAGCAGAGTGCACTGAATTTAACCACTAGGCCACAGGGCCGGCTCCAAGGCAATTATTACTTTTTTATTTTTACTTCTTTTGCTTTTTTTTGTTGTTGTTTTTTTGTGTCAGGAAGATCAGCCCTGAGCTAACATCTGTTGCCGATCCTCCTCTTTTTGCTGAGGAAGACTGGCCCTGGGCTAACATCCGTGCCCATCTTCCTCCACTTTATACGGGACGCCGCCACAGCATGGCCTGACAAGTGGTGCGTCGGTGCACATCCAGGATCCAAACCTGCAAACCCTGGGCCGCTGAAGCGGAGTGCACAAACTTAACCACTACGCCTCCAGGCCGGCCCCCAAGGCAATTATTTTTTAAGGAACCATTCTGTATTGTTATCTTATCAGTCAGAGCACTGAGTAGGCAATTTAAATTATTTTTGGTTTGCAATTTCCTTTTCTTAACCCCCAACTGTGATCAAATTGGTATGTGTCCATAGCAATCACTGCATTCCCCATTTTCCCACAGAATCCTTTTCTCATACATCATAAACAAATGATTCTACAAAAGTCAGATTGGACAAAATTGATCATTCAACAGATTTTATAGATTTTCCAAGAAGTCTTTACTTTGATCGCTGCTTTGCTGCACATACTTCTCAGGCCCTCAAAACACTTGGTCTTTTTTTTTGTTTTTGTTTTGTTTTGTGAGGAAGATCAGCCCTGAGCTAACATCCATGCCAATCCTCCTCTTTTTGCTGAGGAAGACTGGCCCTGGGCTAACATCCGTGCCCATCCTCCTCCACTTGATATGGGACGCCGCCACAGCATGGCCTGACAAGTGGAGCATCTGTGCGCACCTGGGATCCGAACCCCGGCTGCCAGTAGCGGAGTGCGCGCACTTAACTGCTGTGCCACAGGGCTGGCCCCGGTCCTCTTAGTTTTAGGTGTTATTTCTACACTCCTTTGTAATTTAAGTTGTTTCCTGAGTATGTATTTTCAATTCCCACCTAGATTAAGAGTTCCCTTAAGATCAGGGACTCTATAGACTTTGTTTTTACTTTACAGCCCTAGTAAGTCTTCTCTGGACAAAATAAGACTCTGGTGCTAGGTGAAGAAATGAATACATGGATAAGTAGAAAAATAAATTTTTTTATTAAAATTCCTAACAGAGCTTTAATCTACTCTTAGGTACAGGAAAAGACACCTGTCTGCAATGTGAAAGCTTTCTTGCTAAGTGTCTTCTCAGTGTAATTTAATGTCACCTAAATTTTCATTGAAAAGATAAAAATCTCTTCATTTATCATTGCTTCATGAATACAATCATGCTAAGAATGACATCAAAGGCAATCTATATGTTTTTTTTGCTGAGGAAGAGTCACCCTGAGCTAACATCTGCTGCCAATACTCCTCTTTTTTTTGCTTGAGGAAGATCAGCCCTGAGCTAACATCTGTGCCAATCCTCCTCTATTTTTTTGTATATGGGACACCTCCACAGCGTGGCTGGTGAGTGGAGTAAGTCCATGCCCCGGATCTGAACCCGTGAACCTGGGCCGCTGAAGCAGAGTGTGGGGAACTTTAACCACTCGGCCATGGGGCTGGGCCCAAGCAATCTGTATTCTTAATTATTCACTTTCTTATATTTTGCTTAAAACAGTAATAATAATAACAATAATCAACCCTCTATTTAGCTTTCTATGTGGTAAATGGTAGTGGCTAAATTGGAAGAGTGGATAGCGGGTCCTAAAACAGAATGAAGAGAAAGTTCTATAATTAATCCTACACCTTTCACCCCATTCTATATCAAGGGGATAAGTGACTTTTACCCATGGAAGTATGTAGGTTCCCCAGTGATGATAAAGAGACATTTCCAAGGATGCCATTAATGTGTTAGTCAAACAGCAAGTGACCTTTTCCTCGAGATTCACTGCAAATTTTTCAGCCTAAGACAGAAGATCCGTTCAGCACAGCAACACTGACTACTTTATTAAGCTACCTCTGGCTTCTTGGGTAACTGTCCAAACCACATATTTGTGACCATGACAGTTATTCTTCCTCTCTCCTTGAAAAACAAGCACGGTCTCAGCCTTCACACACTCCCTCTGTGTATCAGGGAGGAGAATTATGTTTCGACTTGGCAACTGGGCCTTGCCCCACATTACAGCTACTGTTGCCACAGCCCAGATGAAGCAGCCTGGCCAGAGAGCTCAGACAAAGGGACAGGCATGAGCAAGCTTCCCTCACGTGGCCGAGCACATGGTCAGCCCGGAATGCCAAAATCTACAGGGGAGCTGGGAAAACAGCTGCAGGAAGCGGAGCCATATCTGTCAACTTAAAGTCTAGCATATGTAGGCATTTATAAATAAATAGACTTCATGTTCCACTAACACATGATTTTTCATATGAATTAAAGAGGGAATTTTATAACACAGATTGTCTAAAATAATTGATAACCCTGAAACTCTTGAATTCGGCTGAACGCATTATGTGATCTTCTTGGCAGCAGATTCATTTTCCTACCCTGCAGAGAAGGCAATTTTTGTAATGCCTCTTTAATAAGGAGATTTACGGAGGCATAACCCAAATGTGTAGCCACATTTTAGGAATTAAACTCAGTCAGACAGAGCAATCAGAGGCCTGGTTATAAAACAAGGAGGCCTGCATTCCAAGCCTTGGTTTGTCACCAACCATTTGATCTTGGGCAAGTCATCTACATGAGCTAACCTCCAATTTCTTCAGAAAAGTGAAAAGTTTGGACAAAGTAACTTATGAAGTCCCTTCCATCTCTAAAATTCTACATTATGAGGCACTGGGAAGAAGCATTTAGACAAATACCATTGTTACATAGAACAGTCTTTGCTAATCTGGGCTGGGAACCCATGGCATCCTAGGACCTGCCTTCTGACTTAGCCTTCCATCCTCATTGAAGTAACTTGATAAAATATTCAGATTCTTGTTTACTTTGGGTTATATTAAAAAAGACTAGAGATACTAATTTTTAAATCATTTTCACGTATATCATCGTTTTGTTCTTCACATCAGTTCTCGAGTTTGGCATTATTATTATAAAGACTTTTTTTTTTTTGGTGAGGAAGATTGGCCCTGTGCTAACATCTGTTGCCAATCCTCCTCTATTTTGTATATGGGATGCCACCACAACATGGCGTGACAAGCAGTGCGTTGGTCCGAGCCTGGGATCCTAACCCACAAACCCTGGGCCGCCCAAGCAGCGTGAGTGAACTTAACCACTACACCACAGGGCCAGTCCCAAACATATTTTTTATCATACACATTCCTTTTTACTGATAAGATATTGAGGATCAGAGAAGTTAAACAACTTTCTAATTGTCATACACTAGTGAATCACTATCCCAAAGCATCTCCTGAGGCCCTCAATGTTCTTTCTAATATGACAGTCCCTGATATAGGTGACAACAGATCCTTTCTTTAGATGTGAACCTGTGTCCCTTCACATCTTAGCTGTAGAGGACACTATGTGATATGTTGATTCCAAAAGTTTTTTCTAGCTGCGTATTTATGCTGACAGCTGTTAAGAATATAAAACAAAGAAAAAATTGGGGCTGGCCCAGTGGTGTAGTGGTTGGGTTTGCGCGTTCCACTTCGGCACCCTGGGTTCGCTGGTTTGGATCCTGGGTGTGGACCTACGCACCACTCATCAAGCCAAGCTGAGGCGGCGTCCCACGGGGAGCAACTAGAAGGATGTACAACTATGACACAACTATCTACTGGGGCTTTGGGGAGAAAAAAGGAAAAAAGGAGGAAGATTGGCAACAGATGTTAGCTCAGGGCCAATCTTCCTCAAAAAAAAGATACTTTAAAAAAATGTAAAAAAGAAAAAATTAAACAAAATTGTTCTCAAGTTGCTTATAATCTAATCGGGAAGGCAAAACCTACTGTTCAAACTGATGAGTGTTACTTTCTGATTTCTCCTACAGCCTACTTCTTCCTCATCATTCAACAGGATTTCTCCATCACCCATGTAGGCGTGATGATGAAAAGGAACCAGGTTAATTAGAATTCGTTTGGAAATACTATCAGCAGGTACACATTAGCAACCCAAGAATTGAAGAGGCAAGTTAGCCAAATACTTACCCTGCTGTGCTGAGTGTCAGAACTCCATAAATACGGGCATGCTCCAGCACAGAAATTAGCATTGTACCCTTTAGGTTCATGTATCCATTTCCACCCAAGATCCCTCTTGAAATCAATGTAAAGTGGACGTAGGCAGCAATTATCCTGCACATTTCTGTTAAAAAGAAAGAGCAATGGAGATGTTAAAGCTGATTTCCCCCCGCCCCTCATCCTAAACCAGATAAATGACTCATTCATTTATTCAACAAATATCTATGGGCTAATACCACAGGCCAGGTTTTAATGGTTTTATTGTAATCTCAAGGGACTTCCATGACGGGGTGTTATGGTGATTCGCTGGACTACTTTCCCTTATGAGTTCTATACCCTGACCCCCTTATCTGCAACCTCAAAAACCAAACCTTTTCCTTGAATGACTAGATATGAGCAGAGAGGTGGCTGACGGAGACCAAGCCCTTTCCAACCACCACTGAGCAGTTATGCCATCCAGCCTCTACCGCCCTGTCAAATATAAAATGGATGAAGTACAATGGCTATTTTCAAAGAACCATCTAGGCATTTTCCTTTGAGAATAAATTCTTTATTTTATTTCACGTTCCTTGATCTAGGAATGAACCAGAAATCAAGAAACATGGAGTCTTGCTTAGTGTAACCATTGGTTCTGGCAACCCAAAAATGCCATTTTACTCACAAATTCTGACACTTTGAGCACTTTATCAGTGAGGACCCCTCACTGCCCCGTAGCTCTTGAAATAAAGAGCGAGCCTTCCTCTTCCCAGGCTTGTTAGGAAGCCACAGAAGAACATTCACACTCTCCCTCCTTGAACTCGCATGGGAATGGGAAATAAATTCATGTTGCCCTCACTTTTCTCATATTCTATAGCTAAAGACATGACAAATAGCATTCTTCTTCTGTCTCTCTCATCTCTGTTACTGTGAAAGAGGAATGACCATGAGCACTCTGCAGTGAGGGCGAAGGCTTCATACAGATGGTAAGTCTTCCTAATTAGGGAGCCGCCATCCTGCACTTCAAAGAAACGTGTATTTGCTCTGGGGAGCAGAGAGCTCATTTTCTTCTTCAGCCCCAAAGTGCTTCAGAGGGATTTGGGGGGAAAATTCAGGGGGCTAGTTTTCTCCCTTCACACTTGGTTCATTGCTAAAGAGCTTATGAATATAACACAGAAATAACTGTGTTAAGCCTCTGAGAAGAATGGTTTATGAGACGATGATGGCTACACTGTACCGTACCTGGCCTTCAGTAATGGGTACAGTTCAAGTCAATTTGTATTAAAAGAAAGGGCAAAAGAAGCACAAGAGTTAACACAGGTAATTGCTTTGTTTTGTTTTTATTTCTTTTACCTAAAGCAATAGGCTGCATCCAGAGCTCGCTTCTTCCGCCGGTTGGACTGTTGTGACTCAAGTCTGTAGGAGGGCAACAACATTAGCAGGAGATGTGGGGTCTTCCCACTGTTTTTTTTCCTAGTGGACTTTATAGTTTTCTGATCACCACTGGTATATGTGGAGGTGCCATCAATACCTTGAAAAAATGCATTTGGGTAATAAACATTTAGCTTTACTTTCATCATATATAATCAGCCATATTTTTTTTCCTTTGTATATTGTCACAAATAGCAGTGATGACCACAACAGCAGCAGCAGCTGGCTATAGTCATCCTCCACGGAAACAGATATGGAACAATAGGACTACGAACAGCAGGTGACAATGAACACTTACAAATTGGGCTCTTGTCAGAAGGCAGTTCAATGTCCAAGGCAGGGCTTGCCGGTTATGAAAGTTACTACTGAAGAAGTCTTGGACCTACAGTCTAAGGGCAGTCTCGGCAGTTTATTTTGCTCAGTTTAGGCTGTGTTCAACCCCTCAACGACCAAACACAGACCAATAGAACACACCTTGTCACCCACTGGTTCCCTCTCTTCTTAGGACTACCAAACTCAAAAGACTTTCCTAATAGACATAAACTGAGACTTACACTAAATTGCAGTGAATGAGGTTCAAGTGAAACAGAAGTCACCTTTACCTAATGCTATTTTGGGAAGCTGTGAAGAAAGAGCTTTTTCATTTATTTTATGGCATCCTCAACACTTTCCTGATTCCATCTGAGATTTAGAAACTCGAGCTCCCCAAAGCATGCTCAAGAGACTGCCAGTTTAAGCATTTAATCTCTACACTCCAGAGAATCATGACTATGTTAGAGCCTGAAATAAATCCCTAGACCTCTGGGAGTATTTTTCCATGAGCAAGAGCCACTGTAGCCTTGTGCAAGTGGATGGAGGTCCCGGGGGGTGTTTGCTAGGGAAGGGAAATTAGCTCCGTGACCTGGTGGTGTGGGCCTGATGCTGCTGCCCCAGTACATATACAGGACTTCCCTTTACCTCTCATCATCCAGTGACTCAATAGCTAATACATGAAGCGACTCAAACACTTGGCATCTCTTCATTCTCCCTGACTTTTGGCTAATTCACTAAAAAGTGAGCAAAAATATGGGGAATACTAAAACTTTGTTATGCGTTTATAAACTATTATAAAAGACTGATAAGAAAGCCGCTGGAAGTATTAGGCACCAGACACATGTCTTTTGATACATGTAAGGTTAAAGAAGCCAGGGTGCGAGGGGACTCCCTTCTGTGAAATACAGTTGTGGGTTCCTAACATTGGTTTGGGGGATTATCAGTGGAGCTCCTTGAATGCATGCTATCTTCATCTTCTATAATATTGGCATGGATGGAAAGTGGGTTTGCTTCAATGAAGAAAAGGAGGCTTGATAAGTCAGTCAGTTACTATTGACCAAATCATCACTGGGCATCAAGCAGCGTAAACTGGGAACCAATCCCTTTCTTCCAGTCTTTCCTGCCTTCATATATCTTTCTCCAACCATATCTTTACCCACACAAATGAAACTCCCCAGGCCTCACCAAACAATCCCATGTTCACATGCAAACTGACTTCACCTCCCGTATTATCCACACAGGCCCTTCCCTCCCCTACCTCACATGACCAAGTTTCAGTTACCTGCGAATCTTGCTTCTAGTTCTTCACTTTTATTGGGGATGATGTAATTATTAGATGGTACAAAGGTGCAGCATGGACAGTGTAAACTTATTTTAAATCCCAGGTTCCTGTCTGGAAAACATTAAGTCAAGGAGGTCATTTGTATGTGCGTCCATACCCTTAAATCTGCAATCAACTTGCCATAATTCAGGGTCACTGAACATCTAGGGAGGAAAAGAGAGGGTGGTTGTAACCTTTATGATGGAGCCATTCATGAACAGCATCAGTTACGTCAAAGGATAGCCATTCGCCTTCTGCTCTTGTTTTCACAACTTTGCTGTCGATGTAGCGCTGGGTTGGAGATGTTAAATCTTTGGATTTGAGAATCTAGGGAAGAAAAGAGCAAGAGGAAAAACTCAACTGGCATACGGACAGCATGACTAAACCAAAACCATTGACAGTATTCCAATTCATTACCTAAATTTAGCTCCACTCTAGTATATCCATGTATTGTCATCTCAACAGCATGGCCACGTGCATAAAAACATACCACCAGGCCATTTGCCATGAAAAATAGAGCTACTAAATCAGCTGTGTGTTATGATAAAGGTGACAGGAACCATAAAGCCAAGTGTCTAAAAGAAAGTGACAGTAATTATTTTACTTTGCTGACATAAGCTTTGCAAGATTTCGGCCATAAATTCTATGCTATTAAGTTAATGGTTTTGTTGTCTGCTTCCCTATTTATTTAATTTGGGGAGCTGGGATGTGGGGAGGGACCGGAGGAGGGGTCCAGTTCAGAGGACCCATGCTCGCCCTCTGAAGGCCCTGAATTATAATCTCCTTCTAATAAAGAGAGAAAGGTCCCAACCTTGGTTCCTAAATCCACCGACATTAAAATAGGTGACATACCTCAGCCTTCAAGGTAAGTCTCTAGCTGGGATTTTTACTCTCAATGTGACCTATGATTTACAAAGATATTCCATATGCTGCAGACTAAGAGTTAATTGGGGCAGGAGCAATCTAGCACAGTGTGTAGTAAGAGTGGGAAAGCAAATCAGCCTGAACACTGAGACTTCAGAAGCATGCATTTATTTCAAATAGGTAAAGAGCAACTGCATTATGTTCTTGGGTTTTTATAGGAAGTGAGCATTTTAGGTGGTTTTTAAAAAATTCTGTCTGTCTTTAAATGATAGTGTTTTGTGAACCAGTCACATCACGATCCTAAGTCTCCTAGAGCTGTAATAAATCCCTACCCACGTCCGGTATCCCACCTTTCCTCAGTATTTAGGGGCTCAAGCCCTATCGTTTTATGCTGCCTTTCCTGATATTGAGTCTAATTGTTCTGTGGTCATTTCCTCTATACGGGTTTAGTCTCTCCAACAAGTTCAGAAGCTTCTCCAGGGCAGGAATCATGTCTTCAATTTGACATCATTTCAAAGCACAGCACTTGATGTAATCAATGTCTATTAAATGACTATCTGAATATCTAGAAGATTTATTGACTCTCTTTAAACTTTGTAAATCAAAAATGCATAATCATCCTGCTGAATTTAAAATGGACTTTCCTTCCATGTGTGTATACGATTGGTTTCAAGTAATTTGGCAACAAATACTTCCTAGAATATTTGGCATTAGAGTAGACTTTTTTTTTAAATGTAGAAAAGGAAAAAGATTCATAGCATTGGACTTTGGGGCGTTCTTATGAATTTTAGACAAACCCTAGTCTACAGATCTGCCCTTAGGGTATAACAAACTCCACTAAGGGAAGAGAATATAGAGGTAATCATGATTCTATCATGGGCAAGAGATACTGTTTGTGAATTAAAGGAGGCAAATAAACATGACTTGAGGGCTAGGCACACTGGGGTCTGGGATTGGCACACATTATTTCCTTTAATTTAAACCCCAAAATGTTTCTATAAGGTAGATTAGGAAACTGAAACTCAGGGAGGTTAAGTAACTCACCCAATGCCTCACAGGGAACAAGTGTGGAGAGGATTTAGCAATCCCAAGTCATTTTCCCTCTTCAATGCTGGATTTTTGAAGGCCAATAGAGTTGTAGGAGTCAGTGTGTGATTATGATTCACCCTTACCCCTTTCCAGATGACAGAAAACATTCAACGATATAGAGGCAAAGATGTTTAATAAGAAAGGCTGGTACAAGATGAAAATATAACATGTGGACCGTATACACAGTTAATGCCGACATAAACCTATAACTTTAAAGATATAACTTAACAGCAGCCAATGCTCTGGAAATCAAATCTTGCCTTGAAAACACTCCCAGTTGGGCAAATAAGACACCACTTATCCAATTCAGAATAAATGGTATAACTAACCTAACACAGAAAAACAATGATAAAACAATGGTTGAGAAGACATTTTCAGACATTTCCATCTGCCTCACTGACTATAAACTGGTAACATACCCAGAACTCATTTTGCTATCTTTAAATTTCTTCCTCTAGTTGACCTCCTATAATGATGCATTATTTCATAATGCTTTGTATGTTTGCTTTGCTCCTAATTATCATAGTGTATATCTTATTCATCTTCATATCCCTAACACTTAGACAAACTGTCTAGAACAAACCATTGCTTTCATTGCTGAATTAATTACATGCATATTTATGTATATCATATAGCAAATGTCTACAATATCTATCTATGAGATATATGAGTATATGTATAAGACCCCGTGTATGAAATGAAGACACAGAATTTCTTTAAAAAGTCATGACTACATTGACCAAATGGGGAGAAAAAACACACACTGGCAAATCTGGAAATTCTGCACCTCAAAGAGAAGGAGTAATCGAGATTATGTTATTTAAAAGCAGACCAGAGGGGAGAAAAGAGATTCTGAAACTTTTTTCTTTTTTAAATCTCAATGGAAGATAAGTGCTTCCTCAGCCACAGAACACTGGTAGGTTCTGACAATGGACAACTTCATATTCTCACACGGGTGAAAGATTCTCCATATCTTTTTACCAGTTCAAGAACAGGTCAAGAAAGTCAGCTAGTTAGCTACATAATCCTGAAACAGAGACGTGATTTTGGTCTTGAGGGTTTGTTGTCTCGAACTGTATGGCCAAGGAGTTCTTAAACCCACTTGTTGCAATTTAACTCCATTCTTTCTTATCCAGTCGTCAGTAGGAACAGAAAACAGCTGCTTTCCATCATTCATAGTATATCCCTCATATTCTTGGAGACTATTATTAAGTCCCCTTCAGCATGCTCATGCTCTCTCTCTAAGCTAAATAAACCCAGTTCCTTCAGCCCATATTTAGAGGAGCAATTTCCCAAACCTTTAATCACCTGGGTCACTAAGGATGAATGATGCTCTATAAAAGTACTCCTCCTACAGCTTCGTGATTTTGTTTCAGAACTGGCTAGAAAACCTTCTAATCACATTTCAAAGTCTCAAATCTTAACTTGAAAGGTATCTTCTTTCTAAGAATAGGCACAACCTCCCTAATCCCTGTTTATCTCCCATTTATCACCCACGCTAAACTAAACTGTGAAGGAAAAAAATCAACCTGTTCCAATTATCAATTAGCACTTTCTTAAATTCAAGAGTTTATATAAAAATGACCAGTTTGGTCAACTTGCCGTTCTATTTTAGCCTTTGCTGTCTGCCTCTCTCCAATCTCCCCACAGCAAGTGTATTGAATGTTAACAGTCATGGATATGCAGCTGTTGTTTTTTATTTTTCTGGAGCCACAGTCACTTCTAAATTCCTTTGTATATCTTATTATGACAAAGATAATTTAGTTGAATCATAGAAGCTCTCTTAACTGGCCTCCATTTAACTGGCCAGATTAACCAGAATTCTCCATTTGTTCTGAGATATATATTGGCAGATGTCCACAGCATGCTGGGGCTCATTGCTGGAAAGCTACTTACTAGTGTGCTCCAAACACTTCTGGTTTTACCCGTTGAGTTATATGCTTAGCAAGTACCACTGGTATATGTTTCTAAACCTGTTTATGATAGTTGGACTTGATATTGTAATTACACAAGTTAATTATAAACTGATGAAATACAGGACCAAAAGTAAAGAGAACTGTTGCTTCTATGAAAACCAAGTTAAATGCCTTGGAAAGTCTTCACAAAGACAAGATGCTTAAAAAAAATTTAGTTTTGGAAAAAAGTTTGATGGTTCCTCAAAAAGGTAAATATGGAATTACTGTATCATCTAGCAACTCGACTCTTAGGTATATCCCCAAAAGAATTGAAAGCAGGGACTCAAACAAATATTTGTATACCAATGTTCATAGCAGCATTATTCACAATAGCTGAAAGGTAAAAACAACCCAAGTGTCCATCAACAGATATATAAATAAACAAAATGTAGTATATACATACAATAGAATATTATTCAGCCGTAAAGAAGAATGGAATTCTAACACATATTACAATATGGATGAATCTTAAAAACATTATGCTAAGTGAAATAAGCCAGACACAAAAGGACCAATGTTGTATGAGTTCACCTACATGAGGTACCTAGAATAGGCAAATTCATATAGCTAGAAAGTTGAATAGAGGTTACCAGGGGGAGGGGGAGTGGGGAGCTATTATTTAATTGGTACAGTGTTTCTGTTTGGGATGATGAAAAATGCAAATGGATAGTGGTGATGGCTGTACAGATTGTGAGTATATTTCACGCTATTGAATTGCATACTTAAAAAATGGTTAAAAGGTAAATTTTTTGTTATGTATATTTTACCACAATACAATTTTTTTTCTAATTTTAGATGTGGGAGAGACAGCTATAAGAGAAAGAAAGAATATAATAAAAATCTAGAAGGATCCTCCACTCAGGTTGCTCAGCAATTGTCCTGAAACTTCTCTCTATTCTTCAAAGAAACTAAAAACTAGAAATCATAGATAATGCACTATGAATGTGGTTTATGCAAAAAACAAGACACAGATTGGCAATAAGCAGAGCCACAGTCAAAGAAAAGTCCTTGCCCTTTTATAAAACACTCAGCAAGTAAATTGTGTTTGTGTGTGTGTGTGTATGTATTATACATATATGTACACATACTTTTTTTTTTTTTGGTGAGGAGGATTGGCCCTAAGCTAACATCTATTGCCAATCTTCCTCTTTTGGCTTGAAGAAGATCAGCCCTGAGCTAACATCTGCACCCATTTTCATCTATTTTGTATGTGGGTCACTGCCACAGCATGGCTTGACAAGTGGTGTAGGTCCGTGCCTGGGATCTGAACCCACAAACCGAGGCCACCAAAGCAAAGCATGCCAAACTTAACCACTATGCCACTGGCCCGGCACCTACACATACATATTTTTTAAGTTAAAATATAAAGTTTGCACCTCTCTCTCTCTCACGTTTTTATGAGGTTTTTCTTTAAATAAC